CCCCCGCAGTTGCGCTGTGCTCATACGGAGGAGGAGGAGGAGGTCGGAGAGCCGGGACGGGGTGTGGAAGGAGGTGCCGGGACCGTCTAAATGCGCTCGCTTTAAGGCCGGGCTTTCTGGACCGGAGCAGCTGGGAGCAGCGAGCTCTGCTTCTGCGAGACTAAGAGGGAGAGGCTTTCCCCACCTTCCCTAAATCACAATTAATCCGACCCCACCTTCCCCAAGAGCAAATAAAAATTTCTGGAATTGCACAGCTTACCACCATGAGGAGGTGACTGGTGGGGTCGCCCAGACCAAGATCAAGGGAAGAGACCACCAGATCCCAGGGAGAAAGTTCATGTTAGAAACGCTTCGGTCCACATCAGGTCAGTTGCGGGGGGCAGAAGAAATCCCATGGAGCACCAAGGACGAGCAGGGACAAACGCAGCTTGAGGGCTACTTCTTTCCCGTGGGTCAAAAGCACCTTCGCATCCTTACGCGCGATCGCGCGGCTTAGTGATCCTCTGCCGGGATACGGGGGTGCCAGTTGTTGCACCGCTCTGGATTCCTCTCGGCTCGCCCTGCACCAAATCCCTCAGGACATGGAGTTCAGCCCCACTCCCATCCTTCATCTTTGCCCCGATCCAGCTCTTCCCTGCAGTCACGGCAAAACTGAGGGGCTGGTGTGGGCTGCTCTCAGACTGGGTGGGTTCTGCTTTGGTTGGTGTTTTTTTTTCCTCTGAAACTCTGATGGATGAAATGATGTCAAGAGACACTGGGGGAAGAGGAGGAGGTAACACCTCTGATTAGGCAAGGAATCCCGAGGAGCCAGTTGCTTTCCAATAACCCTACAAGCAGACAGTGAGTTCAAACCGGCCAGCAGATGTTACGCGACCTGCTGCGGAGCCGGCGGCGGCCCCGGCAGGCTGTTACAGACCGGCAGCACTTGGCAGCCCTCGGGGTTTGGCACGACGGCAATTCATGGCTCGGTCCGCGCACCCGCGAACACCGAGCACGGAACGGAACCGCGATCCGGTGCAAGCAGAGAAGGAGAGAACCAGGNACAGGCTGTGGTCCCCAGCAAGGACCAGGAATGGCACAGCTGTGGTCCCCAGCACAGAGCAGGAATGGCCAGGCTGTGGTCCCCTGCAAGGACCAGGAATGGCCAGGCTGTGGTCCCCAGCATGGAGCAGAAATGGCACAGCCGTGGTCCCCAGCATGGAGCAGGAAAGGCATGGGCTTTGGTCCCCAGCACAGAGCAGGAATGGCACAGCTGTGGTCCCCAGCACGGAGCAGGAATGGCCAGGCTGTGGTCCCCAGCCCCAGCAGCCTGTGGTCATGTCCGGGCCATCCAGGCAGGGCTCTTTGGCGCCTTGCAGGTGTGAATGTCCACCACCTCGAGGCAGTCCTGGCAGCGCACGGCGCAGCACCAGTGGAACTTGCACTCGCACTTGGTCACCCTGCTGACGCGGGCGGTGTCGTAGCCCCTCCCGCAGCACATCACCTCACAGCTGTCCATGCCGCGCGACGTCTGGTTGCACACCCGACCAGCTGTCCCGAGGGACCCTGCAGAGGGAACCCAGCCAAAGTCAGCAGGCAGATTATAAGGAAAGGCAGCAAGCATATGAAAATAGGTATGATACTTTGATACTTTAACATCACATCACTCAGGATTCAATATCAAGCCAGGAAAATGCCTATAAAGGTAAAATTGCTCCCATATTTCCCCTAGGAATCAGGCCTGAAGATGAGAAGGAAGAAAATGGATTAAATTCTTTAAGGGTCTGCCTGATTCTGTTAATATCATCGTGTTTTGCTTCATCTTTCCCTGGAACTTTCTTCCCCTCCAGGGAGCAGACACCCTTCCCAAGGCAGTCCTGCACCCAGTCCCCCAGGACTGTCTGAAATGGAATGCCCAGGTGGAGCATCTTCATGGTGTCAGGATCTCATGGGCTTTGCTGAGGAGCTCTGGGTGTGCAGGAGAGGGCTAGGAGAGAAGACCACAGAAGCTGGTGGCTGTGAGGGACTCAATGGATAGAGTAACTGCGCTGCCTGTGATTAAAGTCTTGCAGAAGTGAGAGCAGAAGCACCCTGGGCATTTGGCATCGCTGCTGTGTCCACCCACAGGCCCCATTCCACCAGATGAGGTGGCAGCTGAAGATCTCTGTGCCTCTCATCACTGTGGGTTAACACCAAGAGTTCTTCTCCCCTTTCTTGACAAGATTAGAAGAAACTAAATTATAGCCTGCTGTGGACAGAAAGGGGGAGAGGAACCATACCACACCTTGTCATGTTCTTCAGACACTCAGGAGGAGTGGCTGAAATGCCTGTGCTTATATGGCACAAAATGGCTCTGTAAGGCATGTCTGAGTCTGAACAGTGACTGTACCACATAGGAGCCACTGCTCATCTAACACAAACTGATTTTAGGGTACATTTTAGGATCAATACCACAGCTGCTGACGGGTTATCACCACCAAACCGAAAACTTCATAAAAATTAATTGCCTCACCTAATTTCCTATGTATTGCTATTAAGAATCAAATGCAGATATATCAAAAAATTAACACTCTTCTGACATTTTCCATAGACTTGATTACAACTCCATTCTCTTCTTGGGCAAGGTGATACTCCCTAAGTAATGGCTGTGGTCAGTAAATTAACTGGAATTATTTTACAAAGCGTATTTGCAGGTGCACACTGAACATGAACAATTTACCTTCTTAAGGAGAACTAATACATGCAAACATTAATTAAAATTTGCATAAACCAGGATAGCAAACCAATCTTAATTAATAAAATGTAAACTGCAGTTAAATTGTAATTATTAATAATTTAGGTTTAATAAATTCCAATTTTAGTTTTTTCCCCCCTATGGTGAATTTATGGTTGTATGCAGTGATGCTGCTGTCTCAAAGCACTTACTAACATACAAGTGTTTACTGTTTCTCCACTCCTTGCTGGCCCCCCAGCATCAGGAAGACTTCATGTTATATGGGGGCTGACCCCAAATGAGTAATGCAATGAGGGGTCTCAGGAACTGGACCAAAGTCACCTTCTCAAACTGTGTTTTTTCATGGGACCAACACATGATCCAGCCTTTCAGCCATGGGGGTGCAAATTTTCCTCTTTTTCTATCAAACTTAGGACAGTCTTCAACTGCTGTCCTGGAGAAGTGCTTCAGCCCATAGAACACATCTCAGCTTCCCTCCCATGGCCTAGATTCCTGTACTTATTTAAATATTTAAATATGCATTGGGTAGAGGTATACACCTGGAGAGCATCACCATGGAGGGGCTGGTTCATGTCTGCTGCAGGCAGAGCAGAAGGGCATTCCTGCCCACCAGCCCAGGCTCAGCACAGGGGCCCAGGGCCCATCCCAGAGCTGCTCCCAGCTGCTGAGCCTGGCCCTGCACAGGGCTCCTGAGCTGCAAAGGAGCTGCTGGCCCATGATGCTGGCCCAGGGCCCATTGCAGAGCTGCTCCCAGCTGCTGAGCCCCTGGCCCTGCACAGGGCTCCTGAGCTGCAAAGGTGCTGCTGGCCCAGCCAGCAGAGACGGGCTGAGCCATCCCAGAGGGAACAGGCAGAGGAAGAGAAACCACACTGAATGGAGCCAGAAACAGGCTCCTGCACCTGCAGCCTGAGCAATCCCAAATCTCCCTGGGGTGAGCATGTTCATGCTGCTGCCTATGGACCAATGCTCTGCATAACATCCTTGGGGAGATGGCTGAACAGCACGTTAAAGTAAACCTCTGATATCTGGGAGAGCACCTCAGCTGGCTGTAACAAGCAGCCATGTGGTGCCTCAGGCACACCCTGCACCAGGACACCAGCAGCAGCTCCTGCTCCCGGCTACTGTCCCTACAGCCAGTGCTGGCACCTGGATCCCTGCAGGAGGGGAGGAGAGGTGGCCCCAGCAGTGACCCACACGGGCACACACAACTCCCAGCAATCCCTCAGCCAGGCAGCTCTCCCTGCAGAGCCAGCACCAGGGGAACTGGCATAGCAGGCATAGCAGTGATGCCAAGAGGCCTCTCCCAGATCTGTTTTTCAGGAATCACTCCATGATGGGGGAAGAGAGACTTCCAGAGGCCTCCAGTACCTCCAGTCTAGGCAAGCTGAGGAGTCAGGGGGGTGCAGAACTACATGATGCATCTATGGTCCCACAGGAAGCCTGTGGCAGAAGAAAAGCCAGATCCTGCTTCCCAGCCATCCCACTCTCCTCCATCCATGATGCTGAGCAAACAGCTGTGATACCTGAATGTAAGTTCTGCTGTTTGTGTCAGCTCACAGCAATATCCATCACATCCCAGACTGTGCAAAATAAAGCCACATTCACAGAAAGGGTTATTAGACATTGCAATGGAATTGCCAGGAAGGAGGTGGAATCCCTGGAGATGTTTAAGGAAAGACTTGGTGTGGCACTTAGTGCATGATCTAGTTGACATGGTGGTGTTTGCTCAAAGGTTGGATGTGATGATCTCCGAGGTCCTTCCCAACTTAATTGATTCTGTGAACAACTTTTAAAAGTACTTGTCCTGTTCTCTCTGTTCAGACCAAAAAAAACATTACAAAGGCTAAGCTTGTGACCCAGATGATTAACATTCTGCATCAGGAATTCACACCAGTGAAAAAGCAAAACTGCCCTCCACCTCAGCACAGCTTCCCACCCAGGAACAGAGTGGAGTCATGTCATTTGGCTGCTGGAAATGAAGGAAGACCCCCTGTTCCCCCACATCCACCAGGAGCTGCCCAGAAAGGTTTGACCACATTCCTCAGCTGAGGCACAAGTTGGTTTCCAAGTTCAGTGTTCTTATTTCCAGATGTAAGGGGAAATCACACAGCACTAAAGGACAGCCTAAGCAGGATGCACCCACTGCTTTCAACAGCAGTTTTGCCACCAGCTTCAAAACCAAAATTATTTCAGCCACTAACAGACAGTCAGAAACTGGTATCATCTGATGCTGACCACAAAACATCAACATTTACTCCAATGACTACAACAGGGGACTTAATTGTCACAGATTGTGACAAAAGTGAAAATAAGCTCATACAAAGGCTTAGTTTTTGAGCAAAACCAACCTTTTTTAAGGTAAAAGCAGCATCTTCAGAATCTCTGCAGCTTCTCTAGTGAGAAGGAAAAAGAACAACAACCAGCAGTGAGGAGTCAGACAAATTACTGAACTCCTTGGCAGGCCTGAGTGATGAAGGCAGCAGAAGACACTGCACAAAATAAGGCAGAGTTTTCTGCCTGCTACCTGCAATGCACCTCCTCATCACTTATGAGGCAGGAGGAGTAGGTTCTAACTTGTAAAAAGCTTTTGTACAATCTCTTTGTTTTTATTTCAAATATTGGAACTGCCATGCCTACACACATTTTACCTGCCAAAACATCCACAGCTTTTCATACTGCCAACTTTGCAGCCTGTACATCAAGTCCTTTCTTCTCAGTTTGCACAGTTATTTTTGGAAATCAACATGTGTTATGTTGAAAAATATTTTCTTTCCATCCCTAAAGCCCTTAAATGTATTTATTAGTATAAAATGAGAGCTTTTTCCTTCTATTTATTAAAATCTGGTGTAAAGCAATAACATCCATTATTAGACTTTCCCACAAACACACACATGTATACAAACAAAAGCCAAAAAAAGGTGCAAAACCAGTTAAATTCCCAATGATAGTTTTCTTACAAGTATTCTTGGGGAAAAAACAATTGAAGGAAATGTTCACAGAAAAGTAGCTCTGAAGAGCTACTGGATCTTATAGACAACACCCAGTAGATTAGGGCTGGAGAGAACAGGCAGTTCTCTCTGGATGCAGATCTGTCTGGAGGGGCTGGGATTTCCCAAGCCAGCACTGAAGAGACAGCCATGTGTTGATAAAAACAACAGTTTACCTAGGATGAGTTTTAAAAGCATTCTGGGATGTTCTATCTCCGTTTCTATCAAATTTTGAGTATGAAATTTTGAGTAAAAATCATTTCAGGAGAGTTATGTGTGCAGGGTTAAATGAATTCTGAACACTTCTGAAAAATCTTCATTTGGTCCTTTGTGGAATCTTAAGGCAAGGAAAGAGGTGGTCAGGTTATTAGATTATCTTGCCATTGAGTTACTATTAGTGATTTCCCATATTATACCCCTCCTGAAATAAATTATCCCTCTTTTCCTTTCTAGGAAAAAAACCCCAACCAACCAAAAAAAAAAAAAAAAAAAAAAAAAAAAAAAAAAANCCCGAGAGGCGACGGGCGGCCCCCGCCCGAAAGAGGGGAGATGCGGCCGGGGCTGGAAGCCAAGACAAGAAGGGATTAAGAGACTTTTTTCACTTCGTATCATTTCTGCACAGCAAATACAGGGTTAACACATATTTCAAACAACGAACCCTCATTACCAATCTGTAGATGCCCCACTTCCGAGACAGCATTCGTTAGCTGAAGAAAGGACAAATAAATGCCCAAGGTTGCTAAGTGAGTTAGGGACTACACAGCTCTTGTTACTAAAAGAAGCCTGCAGTTGTTAACTCCAGGTGAAAATCCTGGAAGAGCAAGCAAGAAAGCATCCCTTAAAAGCTGTTCTTCAGGCTGTATATCACAGCCATTCCCATGTTTCTCGGTACGACTTCTCAAGATTCCAGACATTGAACTAGATGTAGGCACCATTTCATAAGGAAAACTGAAAACGCAGAATTATGTGAAGTTTTGAGGTGCTAACATTCACCCACTACTAACTTAACCTGAAAGAAGTACCCCAAACAATCCTCAGAAATCAACACCAAACTACCACCCCCAACTGCAACGTCAAAATCTTTTGACTGCAAAGACTTCCGAGTAAGAATAATTGAAGCTTGGGACACACGAATGCTTCCAGAACTGTACTTGCCCAGAGGCAACTACAGCTCCTCTTACTAACTCCAGCAGGTCTTAAAAGCAGCAGATGA